AATGTCAAATTCAGCTTAATGTACATATGTATCTAATGTTTAGAAAGATTATCTTTTTCATACTGAATATCTGTAATTCGTTCGTTCACTTAATTTGTAATTTCCGACTTATATATAATTTTCGCAATTAAGTAGTTTGGATAATTCTGGTAGAATGTACATGCGTTGGTCATATTGCCATATGCATCTATAATTTTGAAGAATTACAGTTAAATACTTAAGTATGTATTTACCAATTTTCTACGTAAAAAATAGTGCCTGCTTGAGAATTTACATGGATATTTTACATATACTGAATAAATAAGTAACCCAGCGTATTTGTGCCGAAACCAAATGCAAACATCCTCCAAGACTCAAAACAAATAAATAATTTAACCTTAATTTTGCTTAACTGTAAGACAATCACAATTTAAGCTTCCATAATAAAGTATTAGTAACGTGTATTTTTTAGAACTTTATGTAGTAAAATTCTGTTCAAAATTTCTATGCTAAGAAAATACACGAAAAAGGAGTGGCATTGATAATAAGGAAATACATATGCATGCTTACAAGTCATTACGGTTTGAATAATGCAATTACGGCGTTAAGCCTTAAAGGCTGCACGCGTCTATGTAGTTTTCTTCTTCAAAACAAGTCCAAATCAGACATCAACTTGCACCTTGAAGGGCTACACATTCATTAAAACCATATTCACCTTCGGATTTTAACCTTACAAAATATGCCCACCCCTCTAATTTTCTACGCGATTGACCACTCCTTCCTGTATAACAGTTTCCTTTGGAAAACTCCGATCGGCTGGGATGGAAAAACGGATCGGATGACGTACGATAAGTCGCCTCACGTGAAATATTTCTGGTGGTACTTCTGCGTCTACGGACTCTTCTACGGTGTAAGCGGGGCAGCAGCATTCTACACGATTTACTGGCAGTACTACTCGCCCCGAAAAGAGCTAAATATTTCGCACAGCATTCAGTATGCTCTGCTAATTCCGACGGCCGGATTGGCAGCAGGGATTGCAATGGTGGTGATGGCGTATGGGCAGCATGCCGTCCAAATTGTGGATGGGATATTGGATTTTCATGACATTATGAAAGTCTTTGGGACCACGGGTATACAAAATGTCGGGGTTTTAGAATACACATGAAGATATTTTAAATTTTGTATATACACTCAAAACAAAAATTTGTCAAATCAACACCGCCCGTGTCAATATATGACTTAACCGCCTTGGTTACAATTCTGATTCCGCGTGGTAATGCAATTTTTCCGTCCGGTTATAACATTATCACAACCGGTATCAAAATCATCATAACTTGGAATCAGAATTGTAACCCAGGCGGTTAAGTCATGGGCGGTGTTGATTTGACAAATTTTTGTTTTGAGTGGATGTGTGATGGTTCTTGTAGAAGAAAAGATACGAGTTGTGAATGGCAAATGGAACGAGTGGCTGGCTTGGATTGACAGGGCATTTCGAAAAGCACGAATTCCAAGCATCTTCTTGCCGGGGGGCGGGCTGGATTGGGCAGGTATGTAGGATAGCGGATTGTATATTGAAAATGGTCAGGTGAAGTTTCAGAATAAATTCTTACGTAGACCGAAAGGTTCACATTTACCTTAATGATAAATTCAAGAATATGTATGCATTGTAAAACCTAATTTCGCAATCTCCGTAATTGGATTAGTATGAATTACAGGATTTCACATTAAATTCCCACGTACATAAATGTTGATCCTTAATTTAACGTTTTCATGACAATTGAAAACGTGAAAACATTCGCAATCTCTCCTTTACATATTTTTTATGGTGCAGGGCTCATACTACTCGTCGCACTGACCTCGTTACCCATTGTATCGCTGGTTACGGTACTATCTGCTGTATTCATCTTCAGGGTTGATGTGTACCGATTCCCGCTGGAAGACATGTGGTCATATTTGAACATGGATTACAGCGCGAACCCAATCACACTTTTGGTACATACCTTTCTGAGGCTGTCGCTAAGCTTCGTCGCGTACATGGAGGGCCAGCGGATATTCCCGTTTCTGTTGTATTTTTATGCATTATCTGGCAAGCTGGTGATCACCTATATTCGGATATTTGCAGAATACGCGGAACAAGTCAGGTTTGATAAAAAATATTTGTAAGCAATTTCGTGGTAAAAAAATATTACCTGGTTACCCCTTCATTGGAAATTGTGATCCTCTAGGGATTTCATGATTGACAATGTCAAATTAATTTGCTCCCAGCCATTGATCCCAGTTCGTAAGATTTTTAGCACCAGATATGAAATTGCATTGATAAACGTGTCAGAACCTAACTTTTCATATGTATTAGACTGTTGTTTCCTATTCTTAATAAGAAATTGATTATATATGCTGGGACAACGATGAGATATTCATTAGATTAGATAGTCAACAGTTCAACAAATTTAATAAATCAATCCCACACATATTACAGGAAGGGCGATGTTGCCCTGACCCCGAACTGGATCAAGTTATACACCCATCTCGCCGTACTTGCGTTACAACCAGAAAAACAGATGGCAACGCAAGCATTCTTCTTGATGTCGAGCGGTCTCTTTTTCTGTGCCGGGCTAAACTTTGCAACAATCCGATTCCTCGATTTTGGAATTCCGCCCCTGTACTACGCCATATTTCCCTTCTTCGCAACTCTGCTCATCATGCTTATTCTATCCCTGCTGCCCGTGGCCATTGATGTGTATGAAAATTCGGAGAACATCCTCCTCACCTGGACCCATTCGATACCCGGGGGCCGCAAGGAGAATGGGTGGATGCGAAAGAAAATCAAGTCGATGAGACCCCTCCGGGTTTATGCGGGTATTACCGGGTTCTACTTCTACAAACTGGATGCCTCCGTTTTGACAACGTACTGCATGTCGATTCAGGACTGGACGCTCAACTTGTTAATGACGTTTCATCCTTCGGCAGAGAAAATCAATGAAATAGCGAATCGTTTGCAGTAATTATTGTATTTTAAGAATTTTTTTAAAAATTTATTGTATTTCTTTGTTTTTTTGTAAACATTTATTGTCTTTTTTCAAATTATTTTATTTTTATACGTTATAATTGGAACCAGCGTATTTTTCTTTGCGAACGTATATAATGGATATGTGCACACTCTAAGAAATTTTAGGTGAATTTACCAGAATTTACAAATTTATATCTAAATATGATGTGGTGTTGGCACATTCCCAGTTCTTTGTGAATTTTTACCTCTACAATTTCCAGCTTTAGTATGCCGTGGATGAAATTGATAAATGCTTAATTATTAATAAAGGCTTATCTAATTTATTTTGATGAATCGATACATACAATATAAATAATGTTTGCCGACAAGTAAGATGATTTTTCTAGACCCAATGTGTTACAAGTTTGTGTTTTATCTTGAGACACTGATCTATTTGTGAAAAGTGGCAAATATGTTATTCATCTTCAAGGCTATAATTTCACCACAGAAAAGACGAATGTAGGTAGCTGCACTGTAAATAATCTGGTAATAAACATTACCGAAAAGCACAAGTACATGACTCTACCAAAGTGATAATGATAAGCTGTCCCGTGTGGTGATGGCTAGTTATACCATCATGGTAACGAATTTTTACGACCTGGTAAAATATTATTACAAAATTTATTATAGAGAAATCATTACCTGCGTGACTTCACCGAATTATTAAGAGTGTGTGTACATTTAACTATTTACGTACAAATGCATGTTTGTATTTCCTCACGAATTTTCTAACCGTGAACAAAGTCCAGGTCGGAATCGGGACAATCGCAATTACATATTAATTCACAGATGCACTGCTTATGTACATATGTACAGTGGGTTGCCAAAAGTATTGGTGGTCAATTTTGTGCTCGGTACAGTGTACGGTATTTTTGCAGAGGGTTGACCACGGACTGATTCTAAAGGCATTTTTTATAGCCAAGCAAATGGGCAAGAAAATACTTGCCCATGGAAACATAATTTGGAAATCTTATCCCGTTCGGGGGAGATTGAGAAAAAACTTCGAAAATGGCATAAAAAATTGTGACTAAAGTATTGGTGGTGGTTTAGTTTTTATACCTACAGGCCCCACACATCTGAATTACCAGTCATAACGTTAGGATAATACTTGTTTATGGTTATTACACTGAATATTTATTAAATAGGGCCAAAACAGGCGAGTTGCACATCACTGGGAAAAATTTACCCACACCACTCACCGTATAGGGGTTACGCCCTAAAATCTTCTCCTTTTGATCTTACAATTCGATGGTGTGAAATGTAACCCTCCGACTTGGCTGAAATTTTGAAATTATGTGGTCCAAGTCAATACAACTCACGTTTCTTGAGGCAGTTTGTGCGATGTTGGGAATTAGTCAAAATATTGGTGGTCAAAGTTGAAAAATTTGCGATTTTCGCAAAGCGGAGGAGGCAAAACCCACTCCCATTCCGTTGGAATGGCAAAATCGCCCGTTTTTCAACTTTGACCTCCAATATTTTGACTAATTCCCACCATCGCACAAACTGCCTCAAGAAACGTTAGTTGAATTGACTTGGACCACATAATTTCAAAATTTCAGCCAAATCGGAGGCTTACACTTCACACCATCGCATTGTTACTAATTGTTAGTGGCGCTCTGGGTAATTCAGAATATCATCAACAAGTTCAAGTCAACTTGTTCTTTGATGGACAAGCCAACATAACACCGAAGAAATGCCACCACACCACACAAAGGAAGAAAAATTACCTCTTACAGCTGTCTTATAAAGATCTCACTGTACAGAGCACAAAATTGACCACCAATACTTTTGGCAACCCACTGTACATACATAGATGCAGAATTTGCACCTAACCATAACAATGGTTTGACGTCAGTACCTGGTGCGGAATAAATAACTGCATCCAAATATGTACTTAGCCGGGTCATCAAACTGTTAAAATGAATAAGTAAATAAGCATACTTTTATTGTACATTTACTATTTTCTTCCACATAAGTTCAGTCCTTTCCGTAACCAACAGAGTTTCTAAAAGTAAGTAAATAATTTTTGTGTCTATTTTAAAATTCGAAGGAAACACTCTGTCTCTAGATAAAATGCATAGTACGTGTATCCCCTTACAAATAATATTACCCTTCTAAATAAGGAAGTAAATGCTTATTCCTTATTCATGCACTCTAAATTAGGTTATCTAGAATTTAGATAACCTAATTTAGATTCTAAATATACTAGATCCAGAGTGAGCTTTACTCTCTTATAGTTTCCACGTGTCAGTATGTATTTATGTATGTACGTGCAGTTTACAAAATATATTTATTTATGTATGCAGAATTGAGGCTGCATTTACCAACTTTTCAAAAATGGTCACATCACTTTTAAGAGGCTATAATGTCTCAATTACTAATTTTTTATTGGACAAATTGTCACCTGAGGAAGTGCCTCCGCGGGTGACGATTTGTTACCAAATTTTTTAAAGCTTATGGAAAGGACGGTTCATAAATAAATTCAGTAACTTCTTTGAAAATTTAGGGTCGAAATAAATTTTTTCTCGATTACACATAAAAAATTGGGACTGTTTCACTAAATATATGATCGGCCCTTAAAGCAGATTAAGGTAACAACCTTGTCCGGAATTAAGATAGGTTCCTTCTCGTACACGGTGAAGAATAAGCGCTAGAGTGAAGCAAATGTTAAAAAAAGTTGGAAAACAAACAGAATAATAAAGCTTTGTGACTTAATAAATTTAGAGAAAACATGGCCAGATTTGAGCAAAGAAACAAGGATAATCGGTAAAAAATGTTCGTAGTTCAAAATTTAAATTCAAAAATTTAAAATTAATGGAAATTACGGATTTGTGTAATTTAGAAAAATTAAAAGCTGAAGTTAAAACACTCGCCAGAATCCACAGAAGGGTTTTAACCCCCCTGACTTTGAAATTCCTCTTTTAGATAAGTTGGCGCAGTAAAATTCTGCCTCACAATGAAACCTTTTTTCAAGCTACACGAGCTTAGTGATTCATCTCAAAAAATCAAGCTAAAAATTAGAAATAACGTGGTACTTCTCTTTCCGTTGAATGGGCACTTGGAGGTCAAATATTTGAGGGCAAAGGCGGCCTGTTTTTTTCTCAGGCGGGCGAGCGGAGGAATGAAAATTTTCTCCTCCTTCGAGGTCACTCCACTGCCTTCACTCTCGCGTTCGCACTCATGCACATTATTTTTGATAAAATTTCACAATCTCGTAAATTGGTGCATACATTTATATAATTTTATATTTGCTTTTTAAATCGACAATACTATCCACCGATCGGTAATTTAAAAAGTGTCAATGGCTTCAATAAATTATAAGTGCGTCGCTAAAGCATTCACCCAAGTAATACAATCTAGTTTCGAGGATGATGGATTGGACCAAAATTAAGAACACTTCTTAATTGCTGAAGTTTTACTAGAAAAGCTACACGAGATCACATACAATTACTTATTTATCGAAAACATCAGTTTTAAATAAATAGCCATTAGTCAATTTCACCAATTTATCTATCGTGCAGCTTTTCTAGTTAAACTTCAGAAATTAAGAAATGTTCTTGATTTGGGTTCAATTCATCGTCTAAGAAAATGCATTGTACTATTTGGATAAATGTTTTAACGACACACTTGTAATTTATTAAACCCATTATCACTTTTTTTATTAAGGCTCGATGGATGGTAAGATCCATTTAAAAAGCAAATATGAATTTATGTGCATGCAAAAATTTACGAGATTGCGTAAATTTTTTAAAAATAACATGCATTGAATGAAAGTCCAAACGCGAAAGTGAAGGGCAGCGGAATGACCCTGGGCGAGAAGGAGAAAATTTTCACTCCTCCGCTCGCCCGCTTGAGAAAAAACAGGCCGCTACTGTAAACTTTGCCCTCAAATATTTGACCTCCAAGTGCCCATTCAACGGAAAGAGAAGTACCACCTTATTTCTAATTTTTAGCTTGATTTTTTGAGATAAGTCAATAAGCTTATCTCGTGTAGCTTGAAAAAACGTTCCATTGTCAGTGTACCTCAAACTGTGTCCAGCTTTACTATGCACAAATAAAGCCATCTATGTAAATTTAACTCTGTGGGTTTAGGGACTCTCAATGTTTAATATAATTAAATATGCATTCATGCACTATTAATAATCCGGTTAAGTCACGAAGGTAATGATTTACCAGTTATAAATTTGGTAATAATATTTTACCAGGTAGTAAAAATTCGTTACCATGGTGGTAAAACTTTATTACCAAGCCGATACCACACGGGACAACTGATCATTACTACTTTGGTAGTGTCATATTTATACTTTTGCTTTTCGGTAATGTTTATTACCACATTATTTACAGTGTACGTTTCGTACAATTGTGTACAGCTATACCCTGCATTAGTAAACATTTGGTACTAACTCCCTACCGGATTGGTAGCAATTTGTTTCTTAGCGGTAAAAGCTTGACGGGAAGAATTTACTCCCTGCTCGGCTAATATATTGAATGCTCACCTCGTAAAAGTTATAGTGGTAAGTGTACACTTCTTTGAAGACGGGAAAGAACGTGTCCTCCACGTGGCTCGTGGTTCGGGTGCATCCCGATATCCAAGTGCCATTTCGTGGGGCACGAACTTGCACCGAGAGGAAGATATCTGAATGAATAAATAACATCATATTAATTAATGGATTAAATCAATAATTGAGGATTCGATTTATTTTTATTAACCCTTTCAAGACTAACTACAAGAAAATACATTAATTCGGGGATGTTACATACAAGAATCTTGTATGGTCATCGAGTGGGAGGAGGAATTTCGTGGTTTTACTTTTAAGGGAACTCCGAAAAAATAGGAATTTAACATTGTTCTGTAATGTGGAAATTTTGGGCAAGAAAATGTTGAAATTTAACATGGGAGGAAAAACCCTTCATAATGGGTACAAATTTTACAACGCGTATTTAGAGAAAATGGGCTAAAATCCATAATCTTCCACAAACGAGAATTGGGTTACAAAATAAAAAATTTCGCTGTTACGTCACAAAAGTTTACAAATTTATGTATACAAATAATTTTAGCAAAATTTTGTATCCTTAATTTCTTAATGGAGTGGGCAGAAATCTCGTAATTATGATAAAATGTGATTCATAAAACATTCTTATATTTAGTGTAGGGCATGAGAACTGGCAGATTAAACATAGCTTTAAGGCGTGATTCTCCATAATTTAATACAGCAATATATTAAGAGTTTACATTTCATTGCATGTATTGCAAAAATTTCAAAAATGTGCCCTATGGTTTACCCATACATACATAAATACGTCTTTCATGAACATACACCTGAAAAAATTGAATATTTTAAAACAGAAATTTATTACTGATCCTTCCGGGTAAAAGTTTCTCAAAAATTGCCACGTAACACATACATGCACATATTCCCAAAATCTTCAAACAATTACCTGGCTTGCTTAGCACATCAGTTAACGGGGCGTTACGAAATAATTGAAAAAATAATAAAAAGAATATTTATTTCTAACCAAAAACAATTTATTTTCAGCGTATAAACCCAAGATTTTATCAAGATTTATGTATTCGTTTCTCGCTAATAGAAATCTCCTCAATTAAAAAATAAAAGGTTATAAATATGCAGAGAAATTTAATTGATTAATTAATTAATTACGTAATTACCGTATTTCAAAGCGGATCTTCATCGCACCTGATTTTGCGTACCCAGAAATATCTGTGACCAGCAGCGTTCCAATAAAGACAGGAAAATATGCCCTCATTCTGTCGTCCATCACTAAATATTTGATGTGTAACTATTTACGAACTAGGCTACTGTATGACTGACGTGCTACTGCAAAATTTTATGTGTACCGTTTGTGCACCCTAATAAATCTAGTTACAATTGTAACCAGAAAGTATACATATGACTGTGACTTGACTTCGTTATAAATTTATCACCACTGGCAAATATTTATAGCCAGTCAGCTATCTGAGAAGTTTAACATTGCGGCGATAGAGTTATGTACGTCTACTCAGTGCCGAAACTTGCTTGTCCGGGCCCTCGGAAGTTTTCCGTGCCCGAACCAATTTAATAATTGGCGTTTATGCATGACAATTTAATTCTAAACTTGAGTGCTTAATCGAAACAATACAAAGATAAGCTTGTGAATGACTCCTGAATTATCAAAGAATGTTGACCACTTCAAATCATTAATTAATCCTGAAATCATTAATTACCTCGTCGCAGTCATGCAACCTCTCTTTCAATAAAAATTTACGCCAGGGAGAATTTTTTCCATGCACACCCTTGGTCAGAAAATCTTGCAAAATATTGAAAATTTAAACAAGTTGTGATTGCTATTGAATATGATAGAGCAACTATCTGGGATCACAAAAATGTAAATTTCTTCCAAATCTAAGTAATTAAAACTCGATTATTGTGGATGGTTTTAGTGCGACAACTCTGAGGGTTTTGGTGCGTTTGAGGGGGTGTGGCGGGCCCATCGATTGTAACCCTGCTTCGTTTCTTCTAGACTCACGTAGTACTATGACATATCCAAAGGACATCGAAATTTGGCGCCGGCAACCTGTGACCTTCTACTCCTAGATAAGTAAGGTCTGGAATACCTAAGTTATGCCACGTTCGTTTTTGTTTGTCGGGAATCCCGACTCGGGATACTTAAACGACGTATAAAACCCAGGATATGAACGCAAGTACTTACGTGTGGCCTGCATCCTGCCATTGTTGAAAAATTCAATGAACAATTAAACAAATAACTTAAACTATTTATTTATTGGGTCAGATGGCCCGTCTCATAGAAACGACCGTTATTATTAAAATTAGTACAATTATTTTAATATATTAACGACAGGAAATACATGCATCGAATTGTATTCTAAGAATGCAAATTATGTGAACTAAATAAAGCTAATTATAATTATAATTACACTATGTAAGGGATGTGTGACAATATTCAGTACGATTCAGCAAATAATTTATTAACCTAACTGGATTAAACTTTATTTTTAGTCATAACATTCTAAATATGGAACCAGATTGTATCTTTTATGCTAAAGTGATTAAGAGTTGATGCACAAATTCGTAGCTAAGTAAATTTGTAACAAACAAAATATTCAAGGATACATACCTGCTGCTTTTCGCCAAATTTATTCATCTTATGAATCCCCACTCTCTCCGATGACCTATCCCGTACATCCACACCCTTTACACACCGAACCGACCGATGGAAGCCCCAATTGTGACCCGCTGTACCGGTGCAACTCGGCCGTCGAAGTTAAACAGTTTGTCCTTCCCTGAAAGTTCTTTAACTCGAACAGTGTCCAGCTCGATCTGCCGGAAGTGTACGCGACAGAGACGACAATGACGCTGGAAGTGATGTTTAAATCGCCATCGGATTCGTACACGAGACGGATCTGGTTTCCATTGTACGGCCAGGACAACGCAATCGCGGGAGTGGTCGTGTCTGGGGGGCCGTACTGATAAATATTCGTTACCATTTCGTACCCGGGAGACATCGTGTCGCAGAATCTAGTCGAGTATGGATACAATGATAGCGTCGCACCGGACCGGGTCAGTTGCCATCTGGAATTTAATAATAATTCGTTTACACTAATCAAAATATAATTTTCGTTGGATTGAGACCCAAACTGTTAGAATGCATGGGTAAAAACTCTAAATAAGAGGTACATACTCATGGCTAGTTTAAATATTTCTTTAACCCTTTGTGACCTCTAGGGTTAAAATGGAGGTAAGTATTGAATTCGGGGTTAAGCTTGTTGCTTAACTGAAACATCCAACCAACAGACAGACATACAGACGGACAAACATAACGGTCTTAGAAAGGGGCTTCACCCCTTATTTATTAATTCTAAAATGATCATTTTCACAAGGCAAAATTAAATTCTAGACTGGCTCTGCTTTCGGTTATTCAATAATTTAACAAAATATATAATATTGGTTCTAATAAATTAAACTATTTAGTTTTGAATATCAAATCCTCATACCGTAAATTATACTACAATTTGTCAAATATGTTTAACTTACGATCCCGAATAACAATAGGATTTAAACCCTTGTCCAAGTCCGACTGTGTCAGTGACGCAATCCACACCGACATGCGTTTCAGATACGGTGAGGCTATTCCCAGTATAGTTAGCGTGTTGGTAAAGAGTCATTTCCACCTTAATTGCGACACCAGGTTGGTGTAAGAGAAGGACCAGGAGTGGGAGAAGGATGCAAGTCCAGGGTGAATAAATGTTTTTCATTTTTTGGACAAAAATTTGATTTCGAGAAGTTGGACCTCAAAATATTTTGTGCGTATGAAGACTTGATGTCACATAACTGTTCGAAAAATGAAGTCTTTTTATACCAAGCTCTCTACGCAGAATTGCATTAATCGAGATCATTCATCAGTTTGTTTTCATATCAGTGACACTAATTTGGTTAAGGAAAATAAATTCGTTGAAATTTGTTAGTGTTTACCCATCAGAAGGATGATGGATTGATTGAAATTTTGTGATAATAGGGTGCAGAATTCGTTGAAAAATGGACTTAATGAACATTTATCACGATATAAAAGTAGGTCAAATTGATATGAGATTTACCAATATCACGTATTGTTTAACCGGCTCAGAACAATTTACATACCTGAATCAATTATGTATGTAGGTAAATATGTATGCTAATTTAAATATATGTATGGTTAATTACATATTTGTACCTCAGTTTGATTGGCACATCCATTAGTAAAGGATTAAAAATTTCTGACTTGATCTGATTTCAACGAATTTTTCAACTTGTTATCTCACCATTTGCTCCAACCAATCCATTATGTTTCAGATGTGTCACAGACAGTTTGTCACAGATATGAATACAGTGACAAGTGATTTAAGTAGGATGACATCAGGGTTGCAAGTGGTGTATATCACCTAATGAGATTTAATGATTTATATCAATCATCTCAGTTGGGGCTGAGTGAGAAATACGTGAAATAATGAGATAAACTTGTAGTTCATGCCCCGTCCGTTAGATGGCGCTAGTGCATGGCTCCCAAATCTCACTATATCTCATATTTCTCATGCCTCACTATTTCTCGTTATATCTCACAATGAGGAGGTGTCAGGTGGTTATCGCCAATGTGGACCGGACTAATTTTACATTGTTCAGGCTCAAAAATAAGCCCACCTGTTTTTTTTCGTTTTTCTGAATGGGCATGTTTAAGCCCGTGGCAGAATTTTCCAAAAAAATGTCAGCCAAAATCCGGATTTTTAAAAACGCTCTAACTTTTCGAGTTTTAGCCCGATTTCAAAAATTGAATACAATTTGTGCTCAGAATTACTTCCCTGACAATATAAAAATTTATTTTTAAAATACTTTTAATTTTCAAAAAATTATCGTTTTTTGGGTTTCCAAAAACTCAGAAATAGCATGAAAATATCAATTTTTTAAAAATTTTGAAAATGAATTTTTATATTTTCAGGGAAGTAATTCTGAGCACAAATTGTATTCAATTTTTGAAATCGGGCTAAAACTCGAAAACTTATAGCGTTTTTAGAAATCCGAATTTTGGCTGAAATTTTTTTTGAAAATTCTGCCACGGGCGTAAACATGCCCATTCAGAAAAACGAAAAAACACGGGTGGGCTTATTTTTGAGCCTGAACAACGTAAAATTAGTCCGGTCCACATTGGCGATAACCACCTAACACCTCCCCATTGTCAGTGAGTTGAGATTTATGAAGGTGAGATGAGATTTCTGCAACCCTGGATGACATAGCTCGGTATATTCATAAATTCATCTTATATGTCAAATCAATAAAATTAATAACACAATTAGCAAAAAAGGAATACTCAATACGTATTTATTTTTAATTTTTTAAATAAATGAATGTTCAATGCAGGAGTAATTTGTCTGAAAATTTTCAAATGGAAAGAATTTGGAATGAGGAAATATTTTTCGAAAAGGTTTTCATGCACTCAAAACGAAAATTTGCCAAATCAACACCGCCGGTGTCAATATATGACTTAACCGCCTTGGTTACAATTGTGATTCCGAGTGGTAATGAAATTTTTCCGTCCGGTCATAACATTATCACCACCGGTATCAAAATCATCATAACTCGGATTCAACATTGTAACCAGAGCGGTTAAGTCATATATTCACACGGGCGGTGTTGATTTGACAAATTTTTGTTTTGAGTGTTACTAATTTTGAATGGATAAATATTTTTCGAAAAGGTTTTCATATTTACAAACATATGTATGTAATGCAAATTGTTTAATCTATCGAGTTAAATTTTATGGAAAAACTATCTCCACAGGTTTCTCCGTTGGTTTCTCGGCCACTTTCTCCTGTTCTTTCGGATCTTCCCCCAATTTTGTGATGCATAGTCAGGGTAACAGGTACTCATGCAGACTCCATTGTTGGCCGCGGTATTCGGTCGGGCACACCAATTGTATCGGAGATTTTTTAAAACCCCGTCGACCAGGGTCCACCGCAATCCCGTCGCCGTAATTGAAGTAGCACGGCTGCAACGTGATTCTCGCGTTGGCAGGCCCGTTGTCGTAATAAAGGCAAGAATTACATCCTCCATTCCTGATTTTTTCATCCTCCAGAACCGTCCAGTCTTGAAATGGGCTCCCGTTACAGTTTCGCAATGTGACGTCGCCACTATAGGCGGTCATGCATCGACCGCTTTGCGCGTTTTTTAGCTCCCTTCCATCCACGAGGAGGAATTGGGCGAGGGAGAAGAGGATTAGGAGACGCATTTTCTGAAATTATGAAATAAAGTTGAATTAAAAATGATATATGCAAATTACGCGATTTATAACGTAAGAAATGTAAATGTTTATTATGGAATTGATACTCAGCCACAGCCGCCGAACGTATACCCCCGAAAAGTGAGGAAACCGACGCTCATCAGAAAAATTAATGCTGACACGTCAAAGGAAAATCCTCCAACCCAAAATCAGTTGGCAACGAAGTATCATGTCTCTAAGCGTACAGTGAGGCGAATTATTCATCAAGATCTGGGTAAGAAGACCTCTAAAAAGACCAGAGTCCATGCCCTAAAACCACGTCACAAACAAGTACGGAAGTCGACATCTCGGAAGCTGTACCGTGGTCACCTTGCAGGGAAAAAATCTGAATTTGCTGTGACATTGGACGAGGCATTATTCTTCATCGAGGATTGCAAAAAAAAACGAAGGATTTGCTATTCAAAGGCCCGAAGTGAGATGGAGAAATATGTAAGTGAAAAAAGCAAAAAGTTTGCGGACAGAGTGATGATAGTCGGCGCCATGAGTGGTCGTGGAACACTCGATTTGATTCGAGTTCCTCATAATGTAAAGATAAATGTTACTTATTATGTGGACAAAGTTTTAAAACCTCTTTTGGAACAAGAAATTCCAAAACTCTACCCTGGGGAGACCCAGAAGGAATTTTTTCATCATGACGCGGCGTCATCACATACTGCTCGGATCACCGCCCAGTACGCAGCCGAATTAAAAGAGAAAGTCGGAATCGCAATTTTTCTTAATAAAGAGATACTAGTCGAATCCCCTGATGCATCTCCAATGGAGTTTTTTTGGGTTTGGAACCTTGAAGCAGCAATTTTTAATAGGGGAGCTACCACGCTAGATGGATTTTGCAAAGTTCTGGCTGAAGAGCGGATGAAAGTGACCCCTGAAATGTGCCTAAAAGTCTTCGATTCATGGAAACGACGACTTTGCTCCTTATCAAAAAAGGATGGGGAACACGTGGAAAACACCAAAACAATTCACCGACGCGTCCTTCGGGCGCAAAATTAAGGTCAGACAGCGTTACATAATGTTGCCCCTCCCTCAGTAATAGGTGACTTTAATTCTGAAGTAGGTATCAGTCTCAAATTTATGAATGATGCGCAATTTGAGCTACAACTTCTTTTTATATTTTATGGATTTCATTCACAATTATGATAATCGACAAGGTAACAGATTTTTCATTTTTATGCAAAATACCGGAATCCAGTTTAATCTTGGTAAGCGGATTACGATCCAACAAAATGTATAAAATATTTCAGCCTACACAATTTCGTTTGCAACCTGCAAAATACATACATATGTAAAAATAAAAATACTAAAATAGATAGGCCAATTTTGTGAAGCGCCGGTCGTTTAGCTTTTCTTTGAAATATAATATGTAATAATAGTATTATTACGTATTATTATAATACGTACTCTGCGATATAATTCATAATCTTAACGAATAAAGGTAAATTAGATGAAAAATACTAAAACGACTCGTAAAGAGTTAATGGGCACACTCTTAAAAATAATGTACCCTTGTGAAAAGCAAATTCAGTCTAAATTCTAAATTATATAAAATTCAGAGCACACTTTACTCTCTATCAAGTTTATGTTTCTTTACATTTAGATAATGCAGTTTACTTAATTGATAATTATTCTGGAATTTATTGTTCAAAATTTTTAAGCATGTATTGTATGCAACACACGCCTGTATGCGACAGATGTTAATATGTATAAGAATAAGGCTGTGACAGTAATTTTGATTACGGTTGATGCATATTTATTCGTTTTTAAGAAAATATATACAATGAAATAGCGTTTTTTTCGCGCTCTAACGATTTTCGAGTTAGATACCTTAAAATTTGCGTAAAATTGAGCAGATTAAGAATCCGTAATAATATTGGGGTGGCGCATAATCAGTTTTCGCGACAGGAGCCAAAATCTGCAAATATTTTACAAATTTTGGGTCTTGACACAAAAAATCGTTCAAGTGTGATCAAATATCACTGGAAATAATTTTAAAAATTATTTTTAACTAGAATTTGGCCACTGCCTCGATTTCGGACCCCACTTTTCCAATTGGTTGAATATTGCAAAATAATTGCAATTTCCATATTTTTTTTTCCACGATCGAATTACGCAATATATTATGAGTTGTGCAGTTATACCTAATATTTGCATACATGTTTGACCAATTCACCTATACCTTGAATTTTGTAACCCTCTTGCCAATTAAAGGTATCAATTTTTTGGTTAATATTCAGCACTGCTTTGAACTTAAAGGTCCGATTTATAAAATATTTTATCGCAAATTTCTAATATTACATGTATTATATTAGAACGGATTCTTTGAATGAGCCTGTTACTTAGGGAAGTTCCATTAAATATGTCACGCTGGCTAAGGGTCGGATGTGGAAAAAGTATTGACAATATTAGCCAGCGTGACCTCAATACTAGAGCTTCACATATCCGGAATTTTGAAAACAAAACAAAATTTGGGTAATTATTTAGGAATTTTGTTAACAACGCAAGATTTTGTTAATGCCGTGTCGACTTGTTTACG